CAGTGTTAGGAAAAAACAAAGAAGCACCACTCTAAAAAGAGAACCAATAACTTTGTAGGAAATACTTTTAAAGGTTATATAAATGAGCAAATTCCTTAAGATGCTATAGTTACCAAAGCCCATTAAAAAAGACTCAGATAAACTATTCTAATAATTTAGTTCCATATGAAGATGAGTTCATCTAAATATTTTTTAAATTCTTGTTGTAAACAAGCTATTGTAGCAAATAGTAAAAAGGAAATGCACTCTAATTAATTTTATAAATCTAACCTTTTAAAATATTGAAACATATTTAAAGAAAAAAAGTATTAGAAGAAAGTTGCAGAGTATCTCCATGAATGTCCTCGGGAATGACATTACACATGTTAGTGAACTGAACTCAAAACTCACTGTCACCAAATTTAAAATTTAAGAATATAAACGTTGTCTTCAGATTTATTATCTCTATCAATCTATTAACCTAACAATCTATTAACCTGTCTTTCTATCATTCACCTCTTTATTATATATTATTATTTTTTGTCTTACATCCTCTATTAGTTATCATCTGTCACCTATCAATCTGTATTATATTTCTATCTCCATATAAAATATGATCTATATAGTTCTGTCTATTCATATAATTATTTATCTATCATGTCTATGTCATCTATACATTATCTATTGTCTATCACCCATCATCTACCATTTGTCTACAAGCTACTGGTCATTTGTCCTTTACCTATGTATCATCTATACATCTATCCACTGATTCTATGACCCCATATCATCCCTTCTGTCACCTGCTTTGTCAAGTGTTCAAGCTAGGAATCTATGTGCCTAAACTAGCAACTCCTTTTGGTCCTAAGTGGCTTTTGTTATTTTCTTCCCTTCCCATCTAGTGTAGCTTGAGGGCATGTGGTTGATACAAATCCATAGTTTGAAATTCTAGTTTGCCAAATGATAATGGGGTGTGAACCCATGGGAAGGATGAGATCAAGAATGGAGCTTTCATAGAATTAACAACTTCATATGAAAGAAGAGACACCATATTATCCCCACTTTGATAGATAATTATTATGAAATCACAATCACAAAAGGATCTCTGCCCACAGGTGGACCAGGAGTCTTAGACAAATACAGGATTAAACTTATAAATTTGTAAATCCATTCCAATTCTACTGAAAATTTGCTATTACTGAGGTAATTTGAGATAATTCAGCGACTTCTCCAAGTCTCTGTCCTTTAGAATTTATAGGACATATTTTCATAATTGGCTGGACTGTGTAAAGAATTTGTCCAGTCGGTGACTCTCCTGAACATCTTAATTCACTTCCAATTTTGTCTTAGGCAATCTTCAAGAGACAACATTAAACAGGGAGTTAAAACCTGTGAGTTAAAATCTATTCTTGATGATTGATAGATTATTTTTCTCTTCTAAATTCATGATTATGCAACCTTGGAAGACGTATAACCCTATCTCTTTATTGAATAGATAAGAACTAATAAGTAAGGAAATGCCTTGCACATGATTCTATAACTATTGAATTTTAGTATTTGTTTTGAGCTTGTAAAAGCAACTAATAATGCTCTAGATATTCACTGAATACTAACCAGTCTGTCTTAGAGAGAGAGAAAAGTAAGAAAATATTGAGTTAACAGCTGATCTCCAGCTTTCATGGACTTAAAATAGCAGATTTGTTTTGTTTTTGTGTTTCCAAGACATGGCTCCACTGTGAGTTCCTGGCTCTTCTGGAACATTTTGTGTAGACCAAACTGGACTTGAACTCAGAGATTTGCCAGCCTATGCCTTCCCAGTGCTAGGATTAGTGGCATGCTTCACCACCACCTGGCTAAAATAAAGGATATTTTTATCTTGTTCCTCCTACAGACCCAACAAGCTCAGTAAGGTCTCTCTTCACCACTTTCATGGAGACCAAGGTAATGTAACAGTGCCTCAGGCACTCCCAGTCATAGTTCATGGAATCTAATGCCATCTGTTTCAGGTCACAGATCAAGGCAGCATGCATGACCATATATAACTCTGGCAGTGTTTAGCGACATCCATTTACAAATGAAAGAAGATAAGTCTCATCTTGAGGCTGCTGAGAAAGCCAGAGAGTCCTGTAGTTTCCCACAGTTGTCTCTTACTCTCCAATCTTGGGAAACAGCCCTTACCTAAAGGAAGGATACCAAAGCAGTGTCTTTGGAGGAGTACCTCTTTATTTGGTGATCTGAGCTTGAAATTGGTTAATTAATTAAGAGCAACTTATTAAGGTTTAATTTCTCTAGAATAATTAAGAAATAGTTAATTAATAATTAAATATTCATTCTCTCATTAAGAAGTTTAAATCTTTCTTAACAACCAGCTAACAGCTCATGATGGACTGGGCGTAGGATCACACTACGGACCATTCAGCTCAGAGTTAATGATGAGTGTGAGTGTTCCCTAGTCTTTATTAGCTTAAAAGAACCATTGACTTCCATTTAAAAGTTAATCTATATATGCTTGTGTGTGTTTGCGTGCATATGTGTGAATGTCACAGCATGTGCATGCATGTACTTAGAAAGGTTAGAGGACAAACTCTGATTTGGTGTTTTCCTCCTGCCTTGTTGAGACAGGGTCACTTTGTGGCTGTCTGTGTCAGTCCAGCTGTCTCACAAGCATAGGGTGAGGGTGTCCTTTGGTGTGTAGTAGAACCTTTTGCCTACATGTAGACATTAGCTATGCTCAACAATACAGGATTCAGCAGTAACAGCAAAGAGTCTAGAACTAAATCAGTGTGAATTTGTCTTTCCTCATTCTTGAGGTGGGATCACTGTCAGAGAATATGAAGTGCAGGGCAAATGTGAACTGAGCTACAAACATCCTGTCTGGAGTGACATGGAGATTGCTTAATTAAGCAGAAGAGAGCCATTAAGCAAATCTATGAGGGAGATGATCATGCTCCAAATGTTGAGAGAGCCTGAAAATGGTTCAAGAAGTTTTTTTCTCTAGAAATTTATTTATTTTTTAGTTTGAAACTGACTTCCTCTTCCTTGTGGTGATCCCTGCAGTTGAGGAATGCCTTTAACTATGTACCAAAATCCTAGGTTGAGTCTCTTTAAAGGCAATTTATTCTTTTTCTTTTCACTAAGGTGTGTCTTGCTTTTTGTAGTATGACTGGATGCTTAAGAACAGCAAGGATAACCTTGACTAATGCCATTAAATACACACAGCTATTTAGACAAGATCAGGTACATTAAGGGTGGTTTGGTCAATGTCATCTTTGGGAGATTCATCTACAGTGTGGGCACTGGTGCGCCAGCTCCAGCAGCTGGCAGTCCTGCTTCCTCCACAGCTGTTGCCTGAGCTGAGGAGAAGGTGGTCAAGGGAAAGAAGGAAGAATTTGAGGAGTCTGATGGTGACATGGGCTTTGATATTTTTGACTAAACGTCTTCGTTCTACATGCTCAACAAAAAGCTAAACTTTGTTTTGTTTTAAACTAAGGCTGGAGAGATGGCTCAGTGGTTAAGAGCACTGGCTGCTCTCGCAAAGGACCTGGGTTTGGTTCTTGGCACCCATATGGTGGCTCACAGCCTCTGTAACTCTACTTCCAGAGTGGAGTTCTTCAGCCCTCTGCAGACACAGCAATGCAGGTGGTGAACAGACGTGCATGCAGGCACAACTTCCATGTACATATACATAATAAACAAATCCTTAAAATGCAATAGATATGAGGACCCCATAGGACAGTAAACATATATTAAGCCTGAGTTGCTTATATTAATATAAAATTCAGCAAATCTATCAATTTTCCTGCAAATTTTCTATTTTTATATATTTTTTAAGAAATAAGAAATGTAATTCACATGCCTCAGAATTTTTTGGGCTTCTAGGGTTTCAGACACAGATTATTTTAGTTGACTCTATTCCCTACACCATTTCCCACATTTACCTCTTGCCTTCTACCCTCCCCATTTCCTCGTCCTGTCATAGATGTCCTTTAGGGTTATCAACTTCAAGTTTCATCCATTTTTTCCTGAATGTTTCAGTTTCCTTTACAGCTGACTAAAATTCCACTGTATGCCTGAACCACGTTTCCATTATGTATTCATCAGTTGATGAATATCTTCATGGGTTCCAGTTGCAAGGCAGAGTGGTGAGCAAAGGCTCAAGAAGTTTTTTTTAAAAGAAGAATGCACACTATAGGGAGAGGCCAGCAGGATTCAAATTAGGAAGAGCAAGGACGTCGGAATGCTCAGAAATCATTTGAGATTTTGAGATATATTGCAACAGATAATGGACTAATTTAAGAGGATCTGAGGGGATTCTGAGGAAGAGATGGTGGACTATGAACCTCAGGTTGGAATTCTGGTGTTGAAACAGCAGCTGTGAGACCCTAAGTTGATAAACCTCAGCCAATGTCATTGTGGTCTTCTGTAATTTGTAAACAACCATGTTTTCTTCAAGGGATCTTGTCAGAGAACAAGGTTATATGGAAATATCAAATATAATCTAACTATCACCACTTTCATCTCTCTCTACTGTCATTTTTACCTCCAAAGCATAAGAAGTCAAGTCTTGAGATAGTCTGAAAGATTGTAGCTACTTTGGATGGGAAGAGTAGCTGTGAGCCCACTTATGGGGACTGTCCCCTCCTTTGGCTTTCCGTCTTCTCTCTCTGAAGCTGCTGCTTCATTGTTGCTAATTCCTGCCAACATGTCCTCCTCCCTGAACCCCATGTTTCCTTTCTTATTCTTTACACATTACCTTTCTGCAAATGGCTGTTTTTGTTTTAGATTATTTCCTATCAGGTACATCAACTCACACCTTTATTCCTTTAAGTTTAAATATTATTAGTAAAAAGCATGTTGGATATGGAATTATTTTCTGTCCTTTCTTAGATAAATGGTCTTATTTTTCTTACAAGACAGTATTTGGACCCAAATAGTATTTTAAATAAACCACATCTTATGAATACGAATAAAAACCAAATGAACAACTTTGGCATTAAACTACCATGTAACTAACATCATACCTGGAGCTTGACTCAATTCTTTGGCAGTCGCTACTGCATCTGTGAACTGTGGTGGGTCTGGCAGAACAGCAAAATCTTCAACCACTATTATAATGAGAGTCAGGACAGTGGGTTATTTGCAGTCTGATATTAATTTAGTAATCAAATGATTATTGTTTGTAAAGAAAATAATTTATATTTATAATCATGTTGGGATGCAAGGGAATACCTCCTCACTGTACATTTACCAAGTTTAGAGATATGCATATTGAAGCAACTGAAAATTTCAACATTTATGGACAGGTTCAGCAAATACATCAGTGTTTCCTTTTCAACAATTTACTGTACACTAACTCAAAAACATTTCTTCCACCACTTTGGAATAAAGCCATTGGGTTGTTTTGGTCCTTCTTTCTTTTATGCTATTCCTTTAATTTTTTCCCTTAAATTAGAAACAAGTTTGCTTAACATGTCAATCCCAGCTCCCTCTCCCCCCTTTCTTCCCAGACCCCCATCAGCCTCTCAGCCCCCTCCCAATCTCCACTAACATCTATTCCTTTAATTTTTAAAGAATGTCTCTGATGAGGAGGAGATCTGTCTTTTCTACCTTGCCTTTTTATCTTATATTCAACAAATTACATACAAATCTCTCATAGTTTTTATTCTCTAAAGTACATAAGCACTTATTTTCCAGGTATTGAAACATATTGAGATCTGGCATCATACAGATATTAAACATCCAATTCTCTATTACTACACCATAAGAACAGCTTTGCAACTACAAATATCATGGAAATTATTCATCTGCTGTTTTCTTAGGCAAAGGAAAATTTTACCTTAGGAGGCCATGTGTGAGTTAAAGTCTCATGAGTGGATACAGTATTGGGAGGTGAAGAATGTCACATTCATAGACTATTTAAGGTATACTTCTGAGGGAATTGAGGAACACTTGGGGAAGATATCAGAGAAGAGATCTAAGAACGATGCAACCCAGGAAAACAACTGAGTCACCTGTTATTTTGTTGTTCATTCTACTTCTACCAACTTTTTTACTATTTGCAAAATATTTTTACAAACAAATGTCACCTGGTTGACCTAGATTGTAATTCTGAGTTGAATCCTCAATGGACTTCCATGTTTGTGCAAGAAAAGTCAGCTTTAAAAACTTATTATATTGTAACTACAAAAAAAGTCATGGACTTCTGCCCTTCATTTTTATTTTGGGCTGTTGAATTGCTTGGAATATAAGGATATTTGTTTTATATCATGAGTTGGACAACTTAAAGCAATAGAGACTTGAAAGCTGTGTGATGCTAAGAAGAAAACTTGAAGGTCACAGAGTATAAGATTGTCATATGTATTCATTGACATCAGTCACAGTCCCCACAACGTAAGTGGGAGCTGAAGCTCATCAAAGCTTATGTGTCTAAAACTATAATGATGTGTTTTATTAGGTTATGTTACCTCACCTGATAGTCTAAGGAGTAGTACTCATACCCTTAAATACTTAAGTTTTCTGTACTCCAAAGAATAATGATGAAGCTTAATTATTGCTAGGGCAATATGCCTTAAAACAATTTACTGAGTGCATATTTCATCAAGAAGGAGCTTTGCCATTTAGTAATATGGGGCAAATAATTTATTTCCAAATTTTATAAGTAAACATTTATGCATTACTCACATTTTAGTCCTATAAAATAAATTTTTATAGCCCATAGTTTTGGTCATGGTCACTGGACTGTTGATTCTGGATCTGTGAGGAGGAAAGTGGGCACATGACAGGGGTATTGTTAGACAGAGCTTTAAACTTATGTGTCTGGAAGTCACTGAGAGAATTAAATTCTGAACACAAACCAAGTAGACTATGAGCTATCAATAGGTTAATCCATCAATGATGCCAGAACTCCCATGACCCAGTCTTTTCCTAAAGACATCACCTCTGTGCAGAACTGCTTCAACACAGGTGCTTGAGGAGTCACACATGAGCAGGCCCAGCACACATGGAAAGAATGACAATTTTCCAGTCATCACAGAGGTTTAAGTATACCTCTGAAAAATAAAGAAAATGAGTTCATGAAATTATTAGAAAGAGCAAAGCAAAAGCCAGCAGCAAAATAACTTCAGACCACATAAATTGTGAATATCACTCAAATACAGTTCACTGTGTTTCTTGAGTGTAATGTAAAGCTACGAAGTCATTTTTATTCTGTGAAGCAATACTCCCCAAATACTGAAAACATTTTTATCTGACCATAAAGCAAAATAAAATAAATACTAAAAATGACACCCATAGGTAAATATTTAGATATTTTGAAAACATACTTCCAGAGTTCAGACACTTAGAAATATCTTATATTAAGATTAAAATCTTATCAATTAATATCAATATAACACAAATAGTTCTAGAGAATAAGAAACATAGAGAAACTCATTATTATTTTGTAAGCTTATAAAAATTTCAAAACAGAACAAAAGTAACAACTGCATAGTCCAATATCACATAAAAATGCAGGTGTAAAAGCTTTTCAAGGTAAAATGTGAATATCAAGGTGCCACTCTTCTTAACATGGTTTTTTCAAGGATTGTGTAATGATATGAATGTATGTATGCCTCTAAGACTCATATGTTGTAAACCCAATCCCCAACGTGGTAGCTTAAAAAACTGTAGGTTTTGTAGATTATTATATCAGTAGGGTCCTAGTTTCCTTCTTTAATGAGATCATAAAAGCAACCTGAAAACTCTTTTACTCAGTTTCTTCCCTGTGACCCAAGACATAGCAGAAAATCTGCAGCCCAGAAGAAATCACAGAGGCATTAATGAAAACAGGGAAAAAACCACAAACAATGCCCATGAATTCAACTGTTTAGTATGCCAGAAGATAACAATTATTCAGTCTAATGTAGAAATGTTATAAAGACCACAGGTTTTGTTTTTGTAGGCCTAAACAAAGGTTTTTCAAAACTGGCAAAAAAATTTCCTGATTAGTATCTTACTCAAGCGTGTCTTCTCTACTTCAATACTTGTTAAGTTTTTAAGATTTTGGGCTGATACGATGAGAGGGGCATCCACTTCCAAACCTGAAGGCTTTTCAGTTTGATTCCTAGAACCTCCATGATGGAAGGAGAATACCAGCTTAAGTAAGTTTTCCCATGACTTCATGTCTATTCTGTGGTATGCTGGTGTCCAAACACTTACATAGAAATTTACAACCACACACAAATAAATAAAGTTAAGAGAAACCATGCTGTCTGTTCAGATGTGTTAATAGAATATGGATTTGTCAGCAGGGCAGAGAGATAATTTCACAAATAAGAATGTGGAGGAAGAGGGACTGGAAATGCTACTCGGGCAGAGAGCTGTAGCTTCGTTACTATACTTTAAAATTCCTAATAAAGGGTGATAATAACAGCAGGGCAGGTAGTAGCATGTCTGGAGTCATTTTAACATTCTATACAAGTTTGAGTCCCTTTGTGCTTCCACCCAAGAAAGTCTTCCTCCTCAGGGTATTGATGGCATTGTGTATACAGCGATGGAAGTGTGCTGAAAACCACAGTAATAATAATTAGACATGGACAAGGAAAATAGGTTAGTCTGAAATGTTATGAAATGTGCAAAGGCAATCTTGGCATGTGGAAAAATCCAGCTCAGTTCTAAATAATATATTCAAGATAGGAAATTATTTTCCACATGACAAAAGTACAAGTAATTCAGAAAAACATACATTGAACTTTTACAAATGAATGGAAATGTATAATGATAGGAAAAATAGAGAAGACACATTATTGGTAAATATCCACATTTAGAATATATTAGAGACCCCAATAACAAACTTGAACTCTCTCTTGGGAAGCTTATTTCTACTGTAGAGTACTATTGTCCTTTACACATCTCTCTTTCAAGCTGAGCACAAATATATATTGAAATATAGTCTTAATAAACTCCAATTTTTCTTTATTAAAAAAGAAATAATTCTGAAAAAAAACAAATTTTATACATAGAAAAGTAGGTTCATCCCTATTATTATTCTGTTAAATAACCACACTATCAACTACTCCCTAACGTCATTTCTCGATGCTTATAGACCTGCACAGCTCTTAACCTCATCAGAGAAGTTTCTTCATGCTATGGGGTGCTTAACATTGAAAGTCACAACTGGTCAAAGGCAGAGAATAACTGAGCCAGTGGAGTGCAGAACTATAAATGCAACATGTAAATAAACCCTCCAGCCACACCCAAGGCTGTAGCACTATCACAGAAGACAGGGAGGAAACACTGTCAGTTCCAGAGGTCAGGGTCATTCTGCAGCAGTACATTCTGGACATGACAGACACACTGTACTTATGAGTTCACAGATGATATGGTTGGCTTCAAAAGACCTGTATAAGATAAAGAAATAGCATTTTAGCAAAATGGGGGAGTGGTTAGGTTGGCACAATTCAGGGATATGTTTCACACTTGTGAACACTTGAGAAGCACAAATTGGACTTGAATAATTAACAAAACAAACAAAGATGGATTGCTGCTGGGTTTGGGGATGGGTGTATCTGGGAGGATTTGTATGGATGGGAGCAACTATGAACAAAATACATTGTAAGAAATTCTCAAAAACATAATAAAAATGTTATACTAAAATATAATTAGACATAAAAAGACAAATCATAGAAAATTATAGCTGATACATGGCTCATTACTACTTAAGCGTGTTAAGGGTATACAAATAAATTGTAAAATCGGAATATTACTTGATTGTCTAAAATAGAAATTTAGCAACAAACATTTTTGTTGATTCTAAGGATATGATAATCCTGAGAGTTCTGATTCAAGTGGATGCACTGCAAAACTCAGTGTAATTTAATAAAAACCAAGGAAACGGAAAAATGCACTTTCTGTATCAACCAGCATCAATCTTAGTGGAATGAAAAAAATACCTTAGAGATATTTTCCTTTTTGTACTTAAGAAATGTCACAACTCTTAAGATTAAAGTGTTATGTTAAAGTAGACATTCCAGGAAGAGCATAGTTTATCAAGTTTTGCTGGCTTCTTGCCGTCTTTCCACATGGCAGAATTCAATTTACTCTTCAAATTAACTTTGAGTGTGTCATGAGACAACTTTTGTCCAATAGATTGCGTGCAGAAGGGATGAGCTCAACTTCTCTGATACTTCATTTAATTGCAATGCAAGTTTTTATGCGTTTTTTCCTCTCTGCTATAGCAACTATAAGAATTTGAGATGGTTTTGTTCTCTCAATCTATATCTTTCAGTTTGTATTAGCTGCTTGTCTTGTTGCTGGGATAAAATACTTTCCCCATTAAAAGAAAACAACTTTAGGAAGAAAGAGTTTATTTTGATTTATAGACAAACCAGCCCAAGATTTTATTAGATGCTAGGAAACCTGCACAGAGGGGCATAAGCATAGGGAGATTACATGTCCATTAAGGTTTGAGTATCTTAAATGTCCACAAGGAGAGAAGTGAATATGCCATAATACACATGACAGAGGTATAGAAAAATTCTGGATTGGCTTAAAATAAACCAATGGATCATGTACATATGGCTAAGTAACACATGAAGTTAGTAAGATAATGATGACATATTTATGATACAATGAGTATTTAAATACCACATTTTAGGTAAATTATCAACATGAAAGTATTTGTTTACAAACAGGGCAGCTTCATGCCATTTGTAAAGATACTGTTTCAGAATGTTCATATAAATATACAAATACTAAGTTATCAAATTAATAAGAGCAATTACTTTATGGTATAAGAAGAGGAATGACAATAAGTAGGGTAAAGTGGCAAGTTTAAGTTTCCCCTCTTATGCCTCTTTTAAAAGTTAGAAACACATTGATTGTTACAACACTGAGTATTCTGGTGCCTTGAGTGGAACTTTAGGTAAAAGAGAATAAAAGAAAGAACCTCATTTCTTCAGTGTCCACAATCACAGAACCTGACATTTTATAAAGGCAATCTAAATTATCAGTTGAATTGACTAACTACCAGCTTAGTAATAGTTACAAATATTGACATTATTTCTATTGTGTTCATCATGCAATGGTCTACCAGGGACCATTTAAGAAGGATCTACCAAACTTTCTGTTCTGGGAATCAGTAAAAAAAAATCATCATTCTTCTGTTTCCAAATCCCAGTGGCTCCTTTCCTATACTGACCTGGGTCAGAGGTTATTAGATTAACAGTTTCAGCTCATGTGAATAGCTTCAATATGCATCTATTGAAACATTTATATCATGGAAAGTACAATGCTCAGTTTACTGACAAGCAGCAGACATTACACTTTAATATTTGTGCAACAGAAAGTCTTTACTTCCCTCATCATCTGAAGGAGGGATCTCCCCCCCCCTTTTTTAGCAACCCCAGCATGTGTTCAGTTCCTTGTAAGCCTGAAGCTTAGCAACATCCAGAGTCTGTACCCCAATGTACTGTCAGGTCAAGTCCTCTATTTAAATTGAACCTTTCTTGTGAATGGTCTCGTAGTAGGTTTTTCAGTTCCCAAACCAGCTGTGAGAGATCTGTGGTTGAATCTGAACTCTGTGGATCCAGTACATGCAGGTGTCTGCTCTGCATTTGCCAAGCAAAATGCTGAGAGGATACCCATTTTTACCCACAGTTTTGGGGTGAAGGAAAAAGAAATAAAATCCTTGGTTTATTTAGGTCTCAGAATGGGTACTTTAGGAGAACTTCTGATCCAGGCCTACAGCTTTTTGAATGCAGAAGCCTTGAAACACAGTCCCTCATCAGTACTTTGAAGCGATCAACAATTCCTAGGGAAGGATTCTGAACCAATCACAACCTTGAGACTATATAGCTTCTGGTTCAGATAATGTCTACTCTAGAATCCCTCTCAAATACTTAGGAATGTAAGGACAAATGAAGGGGAAAGAATTAAAAATAATAAAGATGATAACAAAGTAAGTAAGATTATAAAAATCCAGATTAGAAAATGTCAACAAAATAAATTTCAGCCTCTTGGGTAAAGACACAGAAAAGTAAAATCAGAGGATAAAAGTAAATATTTCCATTCATAATTCAGAAATGTAAAAGAATACAAAAACCGCTGTGAAGAATTATATGCTAAATATTTGGAAAATCTAGACAGATAAATGAATTCTTAAATATGTACCACCAAAAATAGTGAACCAAACAAAAATAGAAAATTTAAATAAAGAATGATGCATAAGTAGATGGACATTAAAAATCATTTTTGTGTGAAAAATCTTTAGACCTGATGGTTTGCATTTGAATTGTATAAATTATTTAAGAAGAATTAATATTAGTTTTTTCTGAAATGCATTCAAATTTTTAAATGAGTAACAAAGTTGCTAAATTGTTTTTTGAGACCATTGGAGTTCTACTGTTGAGTCTAGAAAACGTCTAACAAGATAAACAAAAAAAGGAAATACCTATTACACTGGTAAATGAAAATTTAAAATTCTGAATAAAAATAATAGGAATCCAAAGTCACAACAGTACAGAAATTTGATGTATTAAGATTAGATTGGGATTCAGCCTAGAAATGCAAGGTTTATTCAATGCACATAAGTTGGTAGATTTACTTCAATAAATCAACATGAAAGACAAAGTCATAATATAATTGAGGTCCATATCTCCTTAAAATGTATTGGAAAAAACTCTCAAATAGCTAGAATAGACAGGAAAGATATAAAACAAGAAGAGTATTAAATGAGGAACCAACACCCAGTATTACACTGAATGCCAAAATAATGACAGTGTTTTCTCTAACTTTTGGTGGAAGATAAGAATAGTCACTTAGAGCATTCAGATTTAATATAGTCCTCTTTCATAGCAAAGGAAGAAGAAATTGAAAAGAATAAAGTGGAATTATCCCTGTTGATTCTGTCTTTGAAAACCATATAAACACCAACCATAGATGTCAGATAAATACTAATACATCAATCCAAGAAGTTTCTCTGCAATGAAGCAAAAAGCAAACAGGCTTAAGAGCTGGCTTTCAGAATGGGGGAAATTTTGCCAATGATACAATGAGGACTTGACATCCACTATATATATATGGATCTCAAAAGGATGAGCAAAAAAGAAATTCAATTAAGTAGCACCAATAAAGCTTTTCTCAGCAGAAGACATTCAAATGGTCGATGAATACAGGAAAAATGTTCAGTTTTACTGATCACCAGGGTGAGGCTAATCAAAACCACAATGAAATTTCCTATCACCCACTGTTGGAATAGCCATCAGCAAAAAGACAAATACAGCAATTTCTGTAAAGGATTCAGAAACATAGAAGCTCTAACACCCTGCTGCTTGGAATATAAATCTACTGAGTCATTTTAGACAATAGTCTAGAGAGTTTTCAAAAACTAAATGTAGAACAAACATTTGAGACAGCAATTCCATGACTGGGCATATTTCCAAATGAAATTTTTATACACAAAATACTTGTAAACCCATGTTCATTACAACACTCTTCAAAATAGCCAAATGTTGAAGCCAAACCAGCTGTCCAGCTAATGAGTGGATAAAGAAAATGTGGTGTATGTATGCAGTAGGATACTACTTAGCCATGAAAAGATCCTGTTATTCATAGCATCATGATTGGAACTGGAGGTCACTGCATTGAGTGAAACAAGGCAGATACACACAGATAAATTCCATATGTGCAGAACTAAGTCAACATTGTGAGAGTAAGAAAATAGTGGTTAGTAGACCTAAGAGAGGGCAAGAGTAGGGAAGGACAGGAAGAAATGTGGGAAATCTTTGGGGGCCTAGTTGGATGCTGGAGGAAAAGTGAAGAATTTGAAGAAAGAACAGAGAAACATGAACAGATGTGCTTTCTGTATACAAGAATGTGATGAGACTCATTGGTTGTATAATTAATATATAGGAACATGAAATAAAAAGAATCAAAGGAAAACTACAAAATAGAATAGTGACCTTAACACCAAGGAAGTTTATCTGGGCACTTATAAGATGATTTCACAAGGCTCTTTTTCCCTGACTACTGCCTTCTTTTATGTTCAGAAAATTATCCTCAATGAAAGGGATAAGAACCCCTAAGACCAAGTTCTCAACACAAAGGAGATGTATTTTCCCCAGAGGGACAGAAGAAGGCAAGGAATAGTAGTTAAAGACAAGAGACAGAGGGCAAAAGATAATGATAAGGGCACAGGGAGCTGGGGTAGAATATTTGTTCAGATGCAGCGTGCAAAGGACTGTCTCTGGACAGACAGGGGCCAGATAAAGGTAAAAGAGAACTCCTCATGTTATGATGAGTTGTTTAATTTTAACTGGGCATGTTGATTAGGTGAACCAAGGAGCCTTTTGATAGTTAAACTTCAGTACTTTGATAGCTAGACCATGGTAGTCAGCCTCAA